TGCAAGAGAAACATTCACATCACACTTATAAGTAAAATGGGGGGGGGGGATTGTCTAATTCCTACAATGTAAATGAAAACAATCAAAATTGCAAGGTCCACACAACATACACAGCTTTTTTCCTTCATTAGAATATAAGTTAACTTCCTAATCATACAATTTTCAACAGAGCAACACATTTATCACATAGCTCAGCAAAAGCCAAAAGCATGTGGTACAGTATCACAGTCTTACTGGGTTACACAGAGTTTGGATGCAAACCTACAGTCCAGCTGAACTGCTGGGAAACATCGAGCTATACCGCATGAGAAAAGGCACTATCCTGGTAAGTAGCTGATTAAGGTTATATGTCTTTCATGGACAACACTTGAAATGTATACACATGTACATATCTGTGTATGCAGTATGCACTCTACATACATGCGTAATTCCTATTGTGTCAAAAGACAGAGTGATACCACATCAGTACTCAGTTATCATGGTAAAAGCAGCCTATCAATCAAAATTCTTTAATAGAGGAAAGAGGTTCTGGATCAGTGTTGGCATTAGCATTAGCTTAGTAATTAGTAACTAGACTTATCTGAACCTGTGCTAATAAATAGGAACATGTACACAAACACTTCTTTTTCATTTTCAACATTTTGTAATATTACAGTATATAAGAATAAAAGTACGTTACATGTATGTACAGTATGATACAAAAAATGCTGAATGTACACTGTATGTATTATTGTAGGGTCTACCTTACAATATAAAGCGCCTTGAGGCGTCGGTTGTGCTTTGGTGCTGTATAAACAAAACTCAATTGAACTGAATTAAACATCAACTTGGGAATTTTAAATTTTAAACATTTTAACTATCTTTTATTTACTATGGTAAGAAGGTCATTTAATGTGGTGGTTGTACAAATCTATAAGGCGAACTGCAAGATCATAAAATATATGTAAACTCTATTTGAAGTCTATTTACATTCACACAGAGACATTAAAACAATAATTTCACAATAAATAGATTTTACAGTGTAGTGCTCCAGATGTGCACAAGTGCACTGTGCAATGTGTAATGTGTATCGGCCTGTCTCTCTGAAATTTGATTACAATACAATACCCAACGTTCAACATGCCATTAATCACTGTTCACTAGAGCTCTTAAATGCCACAGTGAACATGTATGTGGGACCTTTTAGACTTTGTCTTTTACATCCCATTTAATCACAGACATAATTTAAGTTGAAGGTACCAAAAAAAAACCCAAAAAACAAAATCATCTGATTGAGGATCTATTTTATATTCAAAAAAAATTTTTTTTGAATAATTTTGAGACTGAGAAATTGTACCCCTACAAAACCTGCTTACATGAATTTTTAGGGAACACATGTTTAGGTCCTCTTCTTATCTGTGGGCAAGGAACTCTTTATTTGTATTTAGTACATGAAAAACTAGCCTCAGGTCTATAGAGGTGTCAAACATGTCTGCAACTAGAGTAGTGTCTTTTGTGAACATTTCCCCAGAGTTTTCATTTTTACAAGCAGCACCGCATGTCATGTGTAACAGCAAATATAACTGGCTATGCCTAAATTGGGAACGTGAAGCTGCTGAGGGAGCAAGTGTTTTTTACTGCCAAGAAAAAAGACTCTAACATTAGCCAGAGCTCTGTAATCAGCTACTATCAGTGTTAGCTTGCTAGTCTGGTCTAGTTTAAATCAAAATGAAAAATCTGAACAGCTGCCTAATGTCTTCTGAGAAAGTGGCCAGTGTTTTAAGTCTTAATAAAATTTGAATTTATGTATCCTTGTACGATTGTGATGGGAACATTAGGGAACATTGGGGTTCGGTATAGTTGCATGCTGGCTTATTGTATTTAAACATAATAAATAAATTATCACTTTTTAAAATAATTTCAGGCTGTACTTCAATATAGAAATCCTTTGTGTCTCTTACTTTATCTGTCATCACCACAGACTGTATATAAGACATGTACACAGCCACCACAACAACACCCACTGGTTACTGAAGTCCTATTAAGCTTCGAGTTGAGCAATTTTACTGCCATCTTGATGTTTCACTGATGACTTAGGAGCGGCTCAGAAATGAAATCAAGGATACCAGTGACTGACAAGCCACTTCCAGAATAAGTCTTTTTTCTGACGCTGACAATGACTAACTCAAACTTGAACAAAATTAACTTCATATTTTAATCATTGTGAGATGAAACTACTGAGTCAGTGCATAAAGTGCCCCAAGAGGGAGCTAATTTATTCATTATTGTAAGGTCTACATTAAAATATATTAACCACCTTAGGTGATAAATAAAACTGAATTGAATTGAATTGAATTAAGCGTCATTCTCTCAAGACTTTTTGCAACCAGAGGAGTTGCCCCTACTGGCCATGAAAAAAAACAAATGTAAGGCACTTTTGCACTGGCATCACTTTTAAACCCCAAAGCTATGTCCAGCATTTATATATAGTTTATAACTATCTAGTCAAATTAACATGTGTTATTGTTTACTTCAGCAGCGATTTAAAAAATATTGTATCTACAGGGCTTTGGTAAAGTCTGGAGACTGAGAAAGAAAACTCATTTATGAGCTGTGCTCACCTTAGAATTAGCAAACAGAAGAATATTTAGTAAAAAGTACATGGTCGTTTCATCCTTACCCTGTTTTCATCTTCTTTTCTGTCTCTCACTAACCTGTTTTAAAAACGACGTATGCTCTGTATATCTGTTTTATTTTAGACATATTCTGCTTTTCCTTTTTTTCATATACTAAACTATTACAGTGTTGATTGGTCATAACGAGGTCACTGGCTGCAGAAGTAATCTACAACATAAGTGAGAGGAGATCTCCCAAATATGATCATCTGCTGTTAGGGGAGAGCCAATCAGATAAAAGGAGGAAGGAGCTTGTTTCAACAGTGGATGGACAGCACTAAAGCCCAGTATAAAACAATAAGGATTATTTTGAACTGTCATGCAAAGCTATTCTAGTATTCTCCAAATATAAAATTATGGAGCTAGAAATGGGCATAACAGGTTCAGTTTAATTCATGTTTTCTAATCAATAAATAGATTTATCAATACTGGACAACCACTAACAACTAAGCAAAAAGGAGTGATACAATTTTCAGAATTTTAGAAAGGTTTAAAATTGATTCACCTGTAATTATACATTTAAAACTGTCTGTCTTGTGCCTGCTTGAGACAACAATGAATACATATGCATTTGTTTGTTTTTGCCCATTTCCTTTTAAGAGCAGGTTGGAAGAAAATAATGAGAATGAAAGCTAAATACTAAAACATTCACCCACAAAACTGAGCAGTTCAAGACATGGTTTTGTGATAAACAAGGCAAGAAAAAAATTTGGTGGTTGTGAGTAAGATGTGGAGGAGGGGCCCCGGAGCATAAAAAGAAAATCTGAAAAAAACAAAAAACAAATGACCTCTTGTTCTGCCAACATGATATCTAGTGTCATCATGGAGAAAAGTTTAATGTGAAAAGATGTATAAGATGTTATGAATTAATGAGCTGAACTCAAATTAGACTTAGTGTACGGTAAGCCTACAAGTCCCACACTTCTAAAAAAATTAGGAGGTACCTTAAACGTTCAACAATCAGGCTCTGTGGTTTAGTCTCTGCTAACCAGGCAGGTGTATAAAAGGACACAACTACTGGTGCTGTCGGCTGTTTTTCACACAGCCGAGACGTTGCTGTGTGTGACGGTATTGGTGAGGGCGTGTGTCTCAGGGCCTGGCTTATCTTTTGGGCTAGATTTGTCCAGGACAGATATCTGAGTGATTGTGCTGCTTTCAGTGAACAGAGTGCGCCGTCGTTTACTGTAGCTCAGGTAACTCTGAGTCTGCCACTTCCAAAACCTCTTCTTGAGCTCAGCCTGCACCTGAAATCAAGATGGAAAACATACATTCCAGATAACTGTTTTTAGAAGCAGGAAATACACAATGTACCTGCATGAAGCTTTCCAAGTGTTTTTTTCTCTACCATCTAAAAGAGAAATAAACTAGCCAATTTTAGCCTTTCCAGTATGCACATTTTTGTTAAATATGCCTCATCTAGTAAAAGATAGTAAAACAAAAAGTAATTGTTTCAAAACACTACAAGTCTTTCTTGTTGCTACTCAGGAGGTGCTTTAATCTGATTAGTGCTTTTCTAAGGACGATGATTAAATGGCATCTCTAAATAGTCCTCATTGTTCAGGTACCTATAGATTGTGAGGTTCCTGACATCTTATTAGTTTATTCAATTCCCTTCAGTTTTATTTCTACAACACAACAGTTACAGTAATTGTAATATAGTGACATTTTATGTAATACAGCAGAGAATCCCTTGAGTGGCACTTGGAAAGGAAGAAATTAAGCTTGTGCATTCAATAAGGAACATCTGTAATCAGTCTTCCTCCTGCTTTCGCCGATGTAAGGCTGCTTTTCTGTTCTTTATATCCCTACTGCTTTTCCACACTGTCAAACTCAGTACTGTTATCATTACTCTACTCCAATCATCTTCTTGCCTGCCTTCTTTGGACCAATCAGCCTCCACGTTGCATAGTTTAAAGGATCAACCTTAATTTTCACCACCACCAGTGTCTAGATTCCCAGGGGTCCTGTCCTAAATCCTGTCACTGCCATGATGGGCCATCGGAGTCTGTTGGCCAAATACACTCATCTCTTTATCTCAATATATCATGTTCAAAGTGATCTTTGTTTATTGAACTCTGGCAGAACTAGGTTTGGGGGGTGGTAGTTATGGACTGGCTTTCAGCGGGAAGGGCAAAAAGAAGCAAAAAATGGAGCACATAGAGAGATTGTGCTGGTAATTCCACTAAAAGCTAGATTCCTTCAGGATTGACTTGATATTGATTCCACCAACCCTACTTCAGCATACTGAATCTTTAATGAAACTTTCCACATTTAATTAAGGTTGCCGTACTGCAGCACTGTTTTGTTTATTTTATCTTTGATTTGCATCATCTGTGCAGTTTTATGAACCTTTTAAATGAAAGAAAAATCTACAGTCAGACTATATATGACTATGACTATGAAATAGTCGAGGCATTACATCTCCTAATGTTGTTTAGTATTTACTTTACTTACCTCACCATTCAAGAAGCAGTAGAGCAGTGCCACCACAAAACCCTTGAGAGTAGAGAAATAGTATTCAAAAGTATTACATATGCTTTCATGACACATATTTATTATTTTTTACCTTTATATGTTGATGTGTATTTTCGGTTCTACCTGGAAGGAGCCCACACCGAGCTCTATGAAGATGCGTGCCTCTGTCCCTGTGTTTTCTGGCAGGAAGGCAAACACCATGTAATGCATCCCGAACAGTGGGATGAGCAGCAGCGTGGACTTCGCCAGCCTCCTGCACACACACATGCAAAACACAGACACATTCTACACATGCAGATTCATGTGACTTTATATTTGTTGTTTATGCTTTCACACGCAGCAGCATTTATCTGTCTCACTTGAAGTGACTGGTATCATTGCCACCAACACCAGGAGACCTAAGCTTCTGGACCAGAATACGGATTACGTTGATGAAGATCATGAAGTTCACCTACATGAAACAAGTGGGAAGCACCAAGTTAGTAATCTGTCAGAATATTGTTAACATTTAACTAGAGATGGAACATTTGGCTCTTAGGCTGAAGCTTGTTTCACTCTGTTGAAGCAGACTGGTCCAAAACACTGTGTTGAGGCTTGAATCAAACCTCTGTGACCATATGACAGATGATGCTTGAGGCTTCATACGTTATTCATGAGAGGATGTTTGACAGGTTTGATAAGTAATAAATAAGTAATTTACAACAGTTAAATGCAGGAAATCACGTTTTTTGCACTACCCATTCAGGCCTGCAGTAGCCTAATTATTAATCTTTTATCTAATTACAATTATCTAATTATCTAATATATATATATATATATTTTAAAAATTGTCTTTATGTCAAAATGTCTCTGAACAGTAAGTTTTGCTAGGCAAGCCAGCATGCTGGAAAAGTGGTGTTGCATTAATTCCTATGGGATCAAAATGACTCCATCGTGGTTCCAGTGTTAAACATTTTATTAGCAACTTGACATTTCAAAATGTTGTAGCACTTTCATGTGTGGTCAATAATTCTGTCTGCTGAACGACACAGGAAATCATTCCTGGCCGTGGCCGTCTCCCTGCAGAACTCCTCCATCGAATACACTGTAATCACAGCAATAGTTACACCCTTTTTGCATATGCTCTTTTCTACTCTGTAATATTCTTGTCAATATTCTTGATATCTATTTATAACCACCCCTGTTAATCCTTGATATTTATAATTGAGTGATTTTTATAAATTGGTGCTATTTCTTACATTTGCAAAATCTGTAACATATTGTATTGTTTAAATAGTTTAGTCTGTTACTGTTACTGCCTTGGAGCAACTGTAACCCACACAATTTCCCTTGGGATTAATAAAGTATTCTTATTCTTAAGATTTAATTTATCTCTTTTGTTTTGGAATCACTGAATTGTGTGAATCATTTGGAAATTCGTAGCTGTTATAATTGCACATGAGCACTAGATGTAGACAGATACTAGTAGTATCTGTCTTTGAGGCTTTGAAGCTTTGCCTGTTTTTCAGTACAATCAGGAAGAAGCCTCAAAGGTTCACAGCGCTTCATCCACCCGTCTCTACATGGATGTATTATTCCTTAGTATTTTCTGTCTTAAGTGTTTAGTTCAAGTTATTCTGTTTTACACTCATATAAATGCCCCTAGATTTAGTTCATTCATGTGTCAGGGTTTCCTAATTTAACTATCATTCTGTCTTCCTGTTTTATTTTGGTAGCTGTACTTGTCTGTAGTGATTTGCATTTACTGTTACTTTCCCTGCTGTCTGGTTGTTTTGATTGTCTGCACCTGTTTTTCCCAGCTGTGTCCCCTTTCCCTGATTGTCCTTCTGTGTATACATAGCGCTGTCTTCTCTTTGGTCCTTTCTGGTCCACAGCAAGATGGCAGCGCGCACAGACGCAGCGGCTCACTGCTCCTCACGTTCGGTGTTTTGTTTTTTACTTTTTCTACGTGTATCTGTGTGGATGTGTGTGTTTTTTATTATTATACATCGAGTAGAGTCCACCTACAGTCGTCAGGACCTTCTGAGTTTGGGATTACGCTGTGCAAGGAGCATTACATCGGACTACCATCACTTTCACGGCATTCCGGAGGACATAATAAGAGCTCCAGGGTCTCCGTGGTTGGTTCTTCCCAGCGGCAAGACAAAGAGGAAACGTAAACAAAGGAGGCAAAAGC